ATAACTTAAAAGAAAAATAAAATGACAAAATTAAAATAGAATTAGATAACTTAAAAATTTAATTAAAGATTACCTCAATAGATGAAGATTTGCAAAACACCATTTCCTAAGAAAATAAAAAAACATAAATTAAGTTAGTATTTATCTATAATTAATTTCAACCCTAATATCTCTAATGGCTTATATAAATAAAATTTACACAAAGAAAATTTACTTACCCCATTGATTATCTCCTAATGTTTCCTGGAAAACAAATAAGATAACATAGATTAATATTTAATCAAATAGGGAGAAATAATGAAAGAAAAAATTAAAAGGGAGGAGATTGAAAATATCAACCTAAAATTATATCAATAATGTAATTATAAACATATATAAACAGTTAATCCAACAGCATTGAATGGAAGAAAAAGAGGAGGCAATAGCCGGAGGAGAAGAAAAAGAAGAAGAAGAAGAAGAAGAAGAAGAAGAAGAAGAAGAAGAATAAGAAGGAAGATAAGAAGAAATAAGCCGGGTAGAGTTGGGGGGGTATATATATGGGAACTTACCCATGTGTAGTTAGTTGGTGTTATTTTCACCGACAAAAATCACATGGGCAAGTGACTAAGAGCGGGAACCAAAATTTTTGCAACTCGCGCCCAAATTACCGACCAGCTTCCCGTCGGCATGTTTTTGGTGTCTTTACCGACAAGATACAAGTTGGAAAATCAATTCACCGACTAGGAGTACATTCCTAGTATGGCCGGTAACAATTCACCAGCTTCCTCTCTAGATTTCGTCCATTTTGCCTAAGTTACTTTCAAATTTTCATTTTCATGCCATTTGCTAAATTTTTGTAACAGATTTCTTACATGTTAGTGGACATAAAATTTTAAAAAAATTATCAAAATTCTCCAGTATATATGATAAAAGGTATTTTTTCTTTAAATCTGCATTTGCAATACTATAACTTTGTGATAAAAAATGCAATAATTTGAAATTTATTCAATAGATTTTTTGTAATTTGGTCATTTTAGTTGGTATAAATTCTAAAAAAAATTTGACAGAGTTTCTCCATACATATGATCAAAACCAATTTTTTTTACCTACATTTGCAATGAAAAACACATATATTCTACAAGTCTAGTGTACTAAAAACAATTATACCTTTTCAACCACAACTACAACCACAAAGTATATATGGCAATCACATACCATTGGTTTAAATACCCACGATATTTAGTTAATAATAATTAACCTCCAAAGTAGTCCAAAACTTCATACCTTTTGAAGTATGATCACTAGAGGTCAAGTAAAATAAGAAAATATATCGTAATAAAAGCTAAAGCTAACAGTTTAAAGTACTAATAGAAATAAAGCCAACCATGCAAAGTATGCAGATAATGTGCATAGCAAAAAATTAAAAAAACTAAGGACCCTAATAGTCTGGATCAAAAGTAGGATGGTATGCATCATCGTCTTGAGGCGGAAACTGCCGTTGCTGTTGATATTCAGGGACCATAGGAGAGGTTTGTGTAAAATCCGTGGAGTAGGTGAAAGCTGAATTCATGCGAAGACCGGAGCCAGGACCATGTGACGGCTGTGGTGGGGCAACTGGATGATGACCTGCCTGAGGGGAGATGCCATGAGCGGCTAGAGCTGTTGCAACAGACTGTGCGATTGTCTAGCTCATATTATTCTGAGCTTCTGTCATATTGACCAACTGCTGTTGCATCAAAGCAATTTGTTGGCGTTGTCTTTCTAACTCCTCATGATCTTTTGCCTGTGTCTCCTCATAGTCAGACGCCATCAGTGCTGCTATTAAGTTTTCTCGGGGTTGTCTCTTCCTGTAAGTAAAACCAACCATCTCTGGATTTACTTGGGAGCCAATCCCTAGCATGAAATTAGATGAGCAACCT